TTTGATCATTTTATTGCTAAGTAGTATTCAAAGTAAGAAAGTACCACAGTTTGTTTAATAACTTACCTATTGAAGGATATCTGAGTTGTTTCTTGTTTTTGGCTATTATGAATGAGCTGTTATGTAGGTTTTTGTATGTAGGTTTTTCATTTCTTTGGGATAAATGCCCAATGATGTAATTGCGGGGTAATAAGGTAGTTATATGTTTCAGCTGCCATACTTTTGGCTATAACATTTTACATTTCTAGCAGCAGTGTATGAATGATTCAACATCCTCATCAATATTTGATGTTGTCACTATTTTTTATTGTAATCATTTTGATAGGTGTGTAGTGATACACTGTGGTTTTACTTTGCATTTTCCTAATGGCTAATGATATTGAATATCATTTCATGTGCTTAGGCTTCCGAGTAGCTAGGACCAGAGCCATATGCTACCACCCCCAGCTAATTTTTAAAAATTTCTTTTTGTAGAGATGGGTTCTTGCTATGTTGCGCAGGTTGGTCTGGAACTCCTGGGCTCAAGGGATTCTCTCACCTCCACCTCTCAAAGTGCTGGAATTACAGGCATGAGCCACTGTGCTTGGTCAGTGATATTGTTTTAATTTTGGTGTTCTTGTGTCTGTTGCTAATATATAGAAATACAATTGATGTAATTTTATCTTCGGCCCTGTAACTTTGCTGAATTCATTTATAGAAGTTTTCTCTCTCTTTCTTTTTTCCTTTTCTTTCTTCTTTACCTTTTTTCCTCCTCTTCCTCCCCCTCCTGCTTTTTCTCCTCCTCCTCTTCTTTCTGTAGATTTTCTGAGATTTTCTACACAATCATGTCACCTGGAAATAGGAAATTTTATTTCTTTCGTTCTCACTTGTGTGACTTTTGTTTCCCTTTTGTGCCCTTTGCACTGGCTTGAACATCCAGTTGTATGATAAGAGCATTATTATTAAGAACATTGAGAGTAGATGGCTTTGCCATGTTCCTGATCTAACACTCAGTTTTACCATCAATGTTAGCTGTAGGCTTTGTGTAGATTCTCTCTACTGCATTGTGAAAGTTCCTCTCTATTCCTACTTTTATAAGAACAACTTTTTAAAAAAAAACATATGGGGTCTTTCTATGTTGTCAGGATGGCCTCAAACTCCCAGGCTCAAGTAACCTTCTCACCTCAGCCTCCCCAGTAGCTGGGACTATAGGAGTACCACACCAACCCAACTAGAATGAGTATTTTTAAATGCTTTAAAAATTTTCTCATCAGTTGATTTTCTTTTCTTCAGCCTATGTGATTTTTCTTTTTTAGCCTATAAATAGTGGATTATACCGATTGAATTTTGAATGTTGAATCAATCTTGCATCCTTGGAATAGACCCCACTTGGTCATGGTGTGTAATTCTTTATACATATTGCTGAATTCTGTTTTCTAATATTTTGTTAATAATTTTTGCATCTATATTTATTAGGAATATTGGTATGTAGTTTTCTTTTTTGTACTATCTTTGTCTGATTTGGTATCAGGGTTTTACTAACTTCATAAAATGAATTGAGAAATCATCTCTCTTCCTCTTTTCCTGGAAGAGATTGTGTAGAATTAATGTTAATTCTTCTTTAAACATTTGACAGAATTGCCCAGTGAAACTATGTAGTCATGGAGATTTCTTTTTTGGGAGTTTAACAATTACAAATTCAATTTCCTTTATAGTTATAGGGCATGCAATGTACTTATTTAATATTGGGTGAGTTTTAGCAGTTTATGTTTTTTGAGAAATTTGTCCATTTCATCTAAGTTGTCAAATTCATGTCCATAGCATTGTTTGTGGGGTTCCCTTGCTATTTTTTTGATGTCTGCAGGGTCTGTAATTATATCTTCTGCTTCATTCTCAATATTCTCAATTTTCTAGGAGTGGCAGGCTCCCTGGTTTGTTCTTAATATGTGTATATTTTTAGTTACACAAGTTATATGTTGGTACATTTTTGTTATAGAATTCTAACCATCCAGAGTATGAAATATAAGGAGTAGAGCTCTCTTTCATTATCTTCTGCACCTGTTCCTCTCATCCTCCTTCTTGACTCAGAGGTAAGGAAAGTGAACAGTTTGGGGTGTGTCTTCCGGGACTGTGACTCCTACCCCTAAGTAATATTTGGTCACCTGGTGGACATTTTTTCTCCGAGTCTTCAAGGATCAGAAGGAGCTTTGATGATGAAACTGGTGGTGGGGAAAGTCAAGGAGGAAAAGAGGAAAGCCAGAGGGGGAGGTCAGAGGGAGGAACAAACAGCCATCTTTCTCTGCTATAAGAGGAGGCTCCTTCTATCTAGTGTCCCCACATGTTCCCCACATGAAGGCTATGACTTCAGGGGCAGATGTAGAATCGGCTTGTTTGGTGGTGTACCAGATGAAGGAAAATATCTGATCTTTCAGCAAATTCTGTTATCTCTTCCTTCAAAATACATCCAGAAGATGACCATTATCCATTATTTTCACAACTAACTTTGTGATCCAAACCAGTCTCATCTCTCTCCTGGATTATTGCAAAAGGCCCACTGTTCTCTCTGATTCTGCCTTTGCCTTCTAAAAGTCTATTCTCAACACAGTTACCAGAGTGATCTTTTCAAATGTAATTTCTCATGCAAAACTCTCCAAGCTTCCCATGTCACTGAATCTAAAACTAATCAATTAGCTAGACCTAACTACCTGTTTACAAGGCAATGCAGCTAATAGGGGAACATCTTAGATAACATCACAAGGACACAATCAACCATTTCCAAACTGTGGAAAATTCTGGAATATAAATTAGTTTTTTCCAACAGGTAAATGCCTTTAAAAAGGAGGGAGAACTGTTGTAGATTAAAAGATGTGATGTTGACCAATCGCAATGTGTGGACTTTGTTTGAATCTTGATCTCAACAACACAGTTATACAAAGATATTTTAGCATATTTGGAGGAAATTGAGTATGGCTTGGTTATTAAATTATATAAAATAATTATGGTTAAATTCATTTGGTGAGATAATGATATTTCTGTTATCCTTTTTAAAAGTTCATATCTTTGGAGGTACATACTGCTGCTTTCAAGGAGAAATGACATAATGTCTGGAATTTGCTTTAAAATACAGCAAATCCCCCACTCCTCTATCTCAAATACCTAAATAAAAAGAAATGAACAAAAGATTAAAAGTGTGTGTATGCAGTGGATGGAACAAGAATGGCAGAATACTGATAACTGTTGAAACTGGATTATGTGTACATGAAGCTGCATTCCTATTACACAATTCTCTCTACTTCAGTCTGAAAATTTTTACCACACAAAAAATGCTCCTTGGCCCCTCTTTTTTAGGGATTCTTTAAGAAACTGGAGATTTAATCTCATCAGCAATTTTTCACAAGGCTACATTTGCCCTATCTTCATTCTCCCTCTGCCTGGGGACAGTCTGCAGTGCCCTTTCAAATTTGGGCCTACCTTGGTCCTCTGGGTATTTCTACTGCTTTTTTAATGCAGTGACTTCTGGGAATCCCCCTCATACTTGTCAACTAATAGTCCCCCTGGATTGGGGTCACTGCCCCAAATGAGGTATCTCTAATTTTAGATTGGAATCAGGAAAATCCAGATGAGTTGCCACTTATAACTGGTATACATTTCAGCCTATGAGCAGAGATGTGCAGGAGATAGTATGCAATTTTCTTATATAACTCCATTTAATTTGTAATTTAAGCCTTGGTTCTGTTGATGTCCTGTTTGGATTTCCACCTCTCCCTATTTGGAAATCATACAGGGCTGAGGTTTTGAGGGTGGGTGAGAGCATAGTCTCTGGTTATTGGAGCATACAGCTGAAGTTTAGATGCCCATCAGCTCAGTTGCCAGGGCATCTTTAGGTGGTGTGGCTCCTATGCCATGTGTGAGATAGGTTGCCATGATTCTGCTTGTATGCATAATACAGCCAGCCCTTCTTGAAGTTTTTGCCGCCTGTACCTCTTCAGCCACATTTCAGAGGGCTCCTCTCCTCCATAGTTTGAAGATCTCTCTCTCTCCCTGACCTAATCAGTACCTCTCAACACTGTAGTAGAGTAAGAAGGGGGCATGCCTAATTAAAAAAATCCTGCTTCCATTATGTTTCTGCTAACTTTCCTCTTTCCTATGGAGTTTAATCCCAGCACTTTGGGAGGCCGAGTTGGGCGGATCACGAGGTCAGGAGATCGAGACCATCCTGGCGAACACGGTGAAACCCCGTCTCTACTAAAAAATACAAAAAACTAGCCGGGCGAGGTGGCGGGTGCCTGTAGTCCCAGCTACTCGGGAGGCTGAGGCAGGAGAATGGCGTGAACCCGGGAGGCGGAGCTTGCAGTGAGCTGAGATCCAGCCACTGCACTCCAGCCTGGGCGACAGAGCGAGACTCCGTCTCAAAAAAATAACTGTCTCTTATACACATCTAGATGTGTATAAGAGACAGGTCCCAACTACTTGGGAGGCTGAAGTGTGAGGATCACTTGAGCCCAGGGGCTGAAGGCTGAAGTGACCTATGATCACACCACTGCACTCCGGCCTGGGTGACAGAGGGAGACCCTGTCTCTCACAAAACAAAACAAAATAAAAACAACAACAACAGCAACAAATAAAAAACAAAGAAAGAAAAGTCAAGATGATTAACATGCTACTGCTGCTTTCAGCCCTGCCATACCCTTCCTCTGAGCAATGAACACAAAGCGTGCTACCTGCTTGAGTCCAGAAGGGAAAGGGTGAAAAAAAAGGAGAAAAGAAAAAAATTAAACAGAAACATGTTAACATCTCAAAATATTCTGCCACATTTGAAATACAGGAGAGTTGAATTCATTAGAGGACTTCTACTGGAAAAAAGGAATTGTTCTTGAAAAGGAGGCCTCTGCAGTTGCACAGACTGTGTTGGACCTAGGTCCGCAGAACGCTGTGATGCCATCATTGAGGTCAGAGAATCTGCTGTGGGCCTGGTGACCTTTGAACCTTAACAGCCCTGCAATGTAGTGAGCACTGGGCAGTGCTGCTGGTTCACTAAGCGGTCTTGAGTTCTTCAGCTATTTAGGAGATTCAACTACGTTTATTCATACTGAATCTTTTTAATGAATTTCCTGAGAGCCAAGAAGGGCCAATCTACAGAAAAAAGCGGGAGGTGGACCTTAAGCATCTTCTAGAAACTCTTCTAGCTGATACCATGAAACGACGACAAAAGAGGAAACATTTGGAAAATGAAGAGTCCCAGGAAACCGCTGAGAAGGGAGGAGGTATGTGCTGGGCAAACTCTCTGGGTCACAAGCGTCAGGCCAGCCTGAGCCTTTTTTTTAATTTTATTTTTGAGACGGAGCCTCGCTTTGTCGCCCAGGCTGGAGTGCAGTGGTGCGATCTCGGCTCACTGCAAGCTCCGCCTCCCGGGTTCACGCCATTCTCCTGCCTCAGCCTCCCGAGT